ACAGAAGTTGTTTGATGACTAAGTACCCTTTGGGTTTCTTCATCTCATTCAACCAATAACAGAAGACAAAGGAAAGTCTGAATCTCGAGCCTAGCTTGAACTGTGAAACTGTTTTCTTCAGAGAGAAGAGTAGAGTTTCAAGACTTCCCCATTTTTGGTACCTGACAAAGAGAAACGTAGTGAAAATAGCTGTTACGTGTGCAGAAACATGCAAAAACCAAGATAACTTTTCATGGCCCAACAAAACTTCAATAATGCTCCTACTGTTTAAGATTGTGGACCTGAAGTTCATGCCTAAGATTTCACATTGAAACCTAAGGTTCAGATGGTATCAAGTTTCGGTTTGATCTAGCTGAAGAAATGTGTTACAAGATGGGTTGGAAATTATTTTCTCAAGGTAGAACCGAACCTTCTTGAGAGGATGACCGCTGCTTGAAGCTGGGGCAGGTTTCATGATCTCGAATGAGCAAACAAGAGTCTCGTCCACGCTCAATAATGCACCAGCGTTGTCAAACTCCCCACCATAGTTTGGAGCTGAGAAAATCGTGACTAACCTCCGTTTTGCGAAAAACTCGTACCCATCTTCAACTACCTGCAACATAAAACCATCACACATGTCCAATATGGTGAGGAAGTTCTCATAAAGTCTCTAGCACTGTGACAAAAGCTAATCTGAATTACTCATATTCTACTAATCAAGAACAATTTCACAGGTTCCAATATAGAATATTGATCTTGTTATGGTTGTTTTTCATTACCTGATGGCCTCGGCAAATGAGGTCAAGATCATTCTTATCAAGGAACTCGGCGACTTTATCAGCTCCAAAAGTGCAGGAAATACCTCGATCACTATCAGCCCAGCCTTCAATCTTCTGATCAGGATCTGACCAAAGCAAATCACAAAGAAGACCATTATCTGGAATCTCAGTAGGCCTTTGAATCTCTCGAATCTGACCCAAATTGTCCAATTCCGGCGACAAGCCACCGTGCATACATAGGATCTTGTCGTCAATGAGTGCAGCTACGGGCAAACAGTTGAAACAATCAGTAAATATCTTCCAAAGTCGTACATTGAATCTCCGTTTGCACTCGTCGTAGAATCCGTAAATCCTGTTGATCTTAGCGTCCTCGTGGTTCCCTCTCAAGAGATATATCTTTGTTGGGTAGCGAATCTTGTAAGCAAGAAGCAAACATATGGTCTCGAGACTTTGCTTGCCTCTGTCAACGTAATCGCCGAGGAAGAGATAATTAGCTGAAGGAGGATAGCCTCCGTATTCGAATAACCTCAGAAGATCTTGATATTGGCCATGGATATCACCTGAGAATCTCCCCCCCAAATCGAAGAAAACGTTAAGAAATTACAACACCTAGATGCTTATGAAACCCTAATTTCGCAAATTGACCCA